AAAGATAGATGAGGGCACAGGGTCAAATTTTCAGATGATTTATAAAAATTAAATTCTGGAAGGATGTGCTGGTACACACATCAAATCCCAGCACTTAGGAAGCTGAGGCAGAAAGACTGTGGCAAGTTTGAGGCCTGAACTGCACAGTGAAACCCTGTCTCAAATACACGCACACATACATACACACACATCTCTAAATTACATGCAAATTAAAACACGATAAAGACAAAGAACATTACAATAGAAGTAAATGGAAATACTGGACAAGAGGCAGACATGAAACTAATGAGCCTAAAGAAGAAACACAACAACCTCTATTGTGAGACCACAGGAAAGAGCAAAGCAGAAAGTAAAAGCATACAGAAGGTTGAAGATTCCCTAACTTCTGAGAAAAATTACCTAGCGCTTCTGAGAATACAAGTTTCTACAATATAAACAGTGACCTTGTTGTGTAGACTCCTTCTCCAGGAGCACTCACCTTCTAGAGCACTTCCCTTCCCCGTCCGTAACTCTTCCTGTTCCAGCCAACAGATGAGGCTGGGTTTGAGGAGCTCACATCCTGTAGGTGGAGAAAGAGACAGAGAGGAAGAGATGTAGGGCCTTCCCCAGTTTCAGGAAATTATAGTACAGATAAAAGCAATGAAATAACTATAGAAAATATTTAAAAATAACCTCTCTGCCTGACTCCAAAAATATTGGTATCCTTCACCACTGAAATCCAAACTGATTTATGTTCACATTTACAAAATACTAAGACTTTTATCAGAACAAAAAACAAAGTACATGGCACAGAAATCTTCATTTTCAAGGGGAAAATGACTATACCTTCGAATTTCTCTGTGGGAGGTGGGTGCTAGGAAAGGAACCTAAGGTCTTGGCCAGCTAGGAAAGTGCTCTACCTCTGAGCTATACGTGCAGCCTATACAACTGTGATTCTAAAGCATTAGAGAGCATCAAATCCACCTGGATAGTTTGCACAACACAGACGACCGGGCCCAATCACTAGGCCAAAGATGGAGACTGAGAATATATTCATCAAACAGTGACAGTGATGCGATGTTCCTGATTTCAGACCACATTCTGAGAACTCAAGTGTAGAGTAAAGCCTACGACGGCAGGGGTTCCATCTCTGTTATGTCTCACTACATCCACAGTTGGTATCACTGATCCTGCAACACATACTGAGTACTTACAGCACTTGGCACAACCTGTTCCTTAAGAGGCTACAAGGCCTGACGGCGGTCTTACCCACAGCAGCCAGGTTCTGGAAGTTCTCCATCATCACGTCACTGTACAGCTTTCTCTGAGGTGGGTCCAGTGAAGTCCACTCGTCCAGGGTGAAGTCCACAGCCACATCCTCAAAGCTCACTGCCTCCTGTATCAGCACACACAGGCTGCTTGAGCCAAGTAACATACTCACCCATGTGCACAGGAGAATGAGGAAGGGACACCAGTGGCTGCATTGGGTTCTGAGGCCCCCACTGCCTACCCAGGGCTCCGTGGTCCCAGGGACTCTTCCCTCTGTCCACACTCATTCACTGTGGCTCTCTTCTGATCACATGGCTTTAATGGCCCTCATATATGATCTGACAGTAACCAGGCCAGATGCTCACCTTATTCCCCCCATTATAGCACACACTTGAGCACACTGAAGATGCATTCTTGACCTGAAAGACACTGTCACATCCCTGACCACCTGACATGATGTTCAGCAATGTCAAAAACATGCAGTCAGCACCATAAGGAAAGATCAGTTAGTAAACACTATGAAGGTGTTCAGTGCAGTCCCTCACCAGTGCAAGTGGCTCCTCTCCCTGGGAAAATTTAATGAGAGACACATTCTCTGAGAGAAGCATAAGGTAGAGGGTCTCAAAAGCCAGGTGTGATGGGGCACACCTATAGTCCTAGCTACTCAGGTGGCAATGGTAGGAGGAAAGCTTGCAGCCAGGAATATAAGACCAGCCTGATAAAACACCAAGCCCTTGTGTCTTTAAAATATAGGCAAATAGGTAGATAGATAGACAGACAGACAGATGCTAAGTGTGGCAGCACATGTCTGCAATTACAGCACTAGAAGTCTAAGGCAGGAAGATCACAATGACTTCAAGGCCACCCTGGGCTACACAGTGAATTCAATGTCAATGTGAACTACATACCAAAACCCTCTCTCAAAAAAAAAAAAAAAAATAAATAAATAAATAAATAGTAATAGATGATACCAAGACTGTATCTCTAATAGATGAATAGATGGATGGGTTGATGCATGGATGGATGGATGGATGGATAATGGATGGACAAATAAATAAGAGAGATGCTGTGGAAATGATCTTACATAGAAGGACGTATGTCCCCATGGTGGATGCAAGCTTATAATTTGTAGATCTATATCAGCATACCTGATACCACTTTGAAAGACAGTCATTCATCTTCTTTTCAGACTTTGTCTTTTCTTCATGAAGGTAGACTGAGTTACTCTAAATAAAGTCTTCATTGAAGAGAAAGGAGACATGAGAACCCTGAGTGGGCCATAATTCCCACACATACATGCCTAGAAGTTATTTCATCCTGCTTCAGAATCTCCCTAAGTATTAGGCTGAGGACACAGCCCAGTAGTTCAGTGACTTCCCAGCTTACAGGAAGCCCTGGTTTCACTTCCCAGCACCACAAATCACAACAAAAATTCAACAAGAAAACAAATCCCCATACTTTCCTGCACACTCAAGAAAACTCCCACAAATATACTTTATTCTCATGAAATGCCACACTGGCTGCCACACAGAGGTAGAAAAGGAAACTGTGTGCTATACTGACCACCAGGAAGAAGGTCAGAGGCTCATGATCCCTAAGGAAAACCAACCCTGGATAAATACGCCTGTATGTCCACGGGAAAGCTCACGAGGCCAAGTCAGGTGCCTCATCACTTCTGCACATCTTGACTGAACCAGCAACAGCAACATGGCAGCTGCACACAGGCCCCCAGCTTCATCCTGTGCCTTGGAAAGCAGCTAGAGCAGAGCCTCTGGAAGCTCATGAGGGACTCACCATGGGAGGAGACAGCGGCTCCCACTCTCCCTGTGAGGCTGATGGAGCTGTGCACTTGAACATGCCTTTCCTTGACCCCAAGGTCACTTCAGCACAGCTTCTGCAGCTCCATGGAAGAGGCAGTCCCCATTCCTCTTCATTCAAGGTTGAGTCCTGTTCACATCAGCATTGATCAACATGATCAATTATTAATAACCCAGTATCAAGATACAGATGATGTATATGACAGTCATTAAAACTCTCACAATCATATTAGAAATATCAATGCCAGGGCTGGCGAAACAGTTCAGCAGACTAAGCGCCTGCTTAGGCAAGCACAGGGACCAGAGTTGAATCCCCTGCACCACATGCAACACGGGTCCTGCCCTCGGGTGTGCTGAGTCAGCCACTGAGACCAGCCTTATCGATCCAGCCACCTCTGAAAAGCCCCTTCACAACTGTATGAAGCTGTAACACAGGTAATGGTAATACTTGCACAACAATGTGAGTATAATTAATACCTATAAGTGGACATTTAAAATTTATGCTGGGCATATCAAAAGAAATCACCAACAGAGTGAAAAGAAAACACATGGAGGGCAGGCCAGATAGCTCAGCTGACTAAAGCACCTGCATAGGCAGAGAGCAGCGGCCAGGGTTCGAACCCCGGCATGCCGTTGCCAGCCCTGCCCCCAGGGCGCACTGAGCCAGCAATTAAGAGTGGGTGTGGTGGCGCACCTGTAATCCCTGCTCTTGGGAGGCTGAAAACAGGAGGATCTCTGTGAGTCTAATCGGTGTAGTGACACCCTGAAGACCCTGTACTAAATTAAAAAAGAAAACATATGGATTAGGAAAAAATTTCAGTTGAATGTCCCTCAAAAGATTTCTATCTAGAACATATAAAGAATTGAAACTAATCAGCTCCCCCATATTTAAAGACCTAATCCAAAAATGGGTATCTAGGATGAACACAAACTTCTAAGATGAAAAAATAGACAGCTTTTTTCTTTTCTTTTTCTTTCTTTTTTTTTTTTTTTTTTTTTTTTTGTACCAGAGGTTGAATTTAGGACCTCGTACTTGCCAGGCAAGCACTTATTCCACTGAGCTATCTCCCCCACCCTTAAAATGAAAAAATAGAAATAGCAAATAAGTATATGAAAAATGTTCAACATCACTGATCATTTGAGAAATGCAAATTAAAACAACACTGAGATTCCACCTTACCCCAGAAAGAATAGCCATGATCAAGAAGTCAACCAATAGGTCTGGGAAGATAGCTCAGAGGTCTAAGCACCTGCCTGACAAGTGCAAGAACCTGGGTTCAATTACTGGTACTGCATGCCATGCTGGCCCCGAAACCCCTGGTGCACCATTCCAGCTACTGAAACCACTGATGGTGGCACATGCCTGCAATCCCAGCACTTGGGAAGCTGAGACAGGAAGATCATTATGAGTCCAAGCTGCATAGCAAGAGTGAGTACCAAATACAGAAAATAATAATAGATAGAAATAAGAAGGAGGAGGAGGAGGGAAGTGGGAAGAGGAAAGCGGGAAGAGGAGGAGGAGACAGAGACAGGGACGGGAATGGGGATGGGGATGGGGATGGGGATGGGGATGGGGATGGAGATGGAGATGGAGATGGAGATGGAGATGGAGATGGAGATGGAGACAGAGATGTCTTCAAACAAGAACAAATGCTGGAGGGCACGTATAGAAAGTGTAGATGTACAATGACTGTGGAAATCAGTAAGGAGATTCCTCAAAACACTAGGATTAGAAGTCTCACTCAACCCAGCTATTCCCCTTCTGGGTATTTTTCCAAAAGAATTAAAAACATTGCACCTCTGCAATATATACGCATCTGTGTGTATAGCAGCACAATTTGCCATAGCTAAATCCTGGAAACGACCCAAATGCCCACCAACTGAGGAATGGATAAAAAGATGTCTTTTTGACTACTCAGCTATAAAGAAGGATAAACTCAAGGCTTTTATAGGTAAATGAATGCAGCTAGAGATGATACTCATAAATGAAATAAAGCACTCATGTGTGTAAACATATTGTTTCCCAAGTGTAAGAAACTGAAATCTTGAATAGATATTGTGAAGGGGAAAGAAATGACTCCCAAAAAAACAACTAAAATGGGGAAATAAGAAAAGGAAAAGGAAAAAATATTTCAAAAAAATCTATTATATACACACACACACACACACACACACACACAATAGCTAAGATTGACACTATTAATTTCTTTCAGATCACTGAAGGGAACAATTTGTACTTATACTATTTGATCAATCCTGCATGTCTGTATTTTATAATCTGAGCAATTACTATGAAGATACCCATATGTAATATATTAACCATATGTTGATTTCCTATTATCTTGTTTTGAAATTCTGTATCATTGTTTTTATTGATCTTTCTCCTTAAAATAAAAAATAAAGTACAATAAAATAAAGTACAATAAAATTTAAAAAATAAAAATAAAGTACAATAAGAACAATGTAAAATGTGTGTTGGACCACACTTGTACTCCCAGCACTCAGGATGCTGGGGCAGGAAGATCACTGTGAAGTTCAGGCCATCCTGAGCTAACAGTAAGTATAAGGCCTGACAGAACTACATGAGAAATGCTGTTTCATAAAACAATACCAAAAAAAAAAAAAAAAAAAAGGAAGAAGAAGAAAAGAAAAATCAAGCAACCCTGAAAATGTAAGGTGAGGTTATGAATACTGGCTGTCTTCATAAGCTGCATCACACAGGTTACCACAGGGTCTGTACTGATAGCTCCAATCTAAAAGTCTACCATGGATGTTTCCAGAGTCTGGCTTACTGAGGCCTTCAGTCCTCATTTTAAGAGTCCTGAACCAATTCTATTCCATGCCAATTCTCTATCTTGTCAAAGGCTAATAAAAGGAACAACAAATTAGCCACATACTACAGTGTATACCTATAATCCACAGCTACTCAGGAAATTGAGGCAGGAAAATCACAAGTTCAAGGCCAGCCTGGGCAAGTTAACAAGATCCAGGATCAAAATAATACGGTTCTGGGGCAAGGGGGTTCCAACCTCAGCAACACAAAAAGCAAACAATGGCAAGCTCCAGTGGCAAACTTCTTCCTCACAACAATCCATACTATAAAAGTAAATCACAGATCTCCACAAACACATCAGGGCCATAACACAAAGACAGAACACCTTTTATTCCTTTAGCAGTTACACCTCTCATTACTATAGCTCAAATATCCCTGGTGCTATGGTTTCACCAGGGTGTCAATTCAGGAAACAGCCCCTCCAGGCCACTTCCTAGTCACTCATTATTGTGCTCTGGACCTAGGACATCCCCTAGGTTTCATGTGTTCAGAGGGAGCTTTTGGAGGGTGGCTGGATCAGAGGACACTGTGTTCTTGTGTGGATTCAAGTACTGCTGAACACGTAACTCAAGGCCTGTTGGGACAGAGGGTCAGGTAGTGGCAGCTCACTGGCATGGGACCTGGAAGGATTACTCTCCCTCCCCAGCTCCTCTGTTTGCTCTCTGCTTCCCAGTCACCAAGACTTGAGCAGTCTCCCTCCAGGTCCTCCTTTCATGCAACTGCAGCATTTGACCCCACCATGGACTGAAACTCTTGAAGCCACGAGCCAGAATAAACCCCTTTAAGTTGCGGTTGTATGTTTTCCAAGAAGAGAGAGAGACAGAGAGACAGAGACAGAGAGACAGAGGAAGAGGTGAAATGGGGTCAAAGAGACTAAAAGACATGAACAATAGCAAAAGATAAAACATGCAAACCAGGTATGGTGAAGCAGGGTTATAGTCCCACAACTCAGAAGGCTGAGGCAAAAAAAAAAAAAAGGCTGAGGCAGGACTGGCACAAGTTGAAGGCCAGCCTAGGCTACATAGTGAGTTGAAAGGCAGCCTGGATTACATAGCTAGACTCTCTCAAAAAGAAAAAGAGAGAGCTTGAGCGCACTGTGTCTGATTTAAAAACAACCAAACTCCCTAGTATAAGAACTCAAACGAAGAAATACAAATAGAAAGGTATAACACAATTAAAAGAAAAGCGAGAACATGAGGATTGAACAATGAGGAGATGGCAAGGAGAAAAGCTGGGAAACATGACAGGGGCAAAACCATATATTTATACACACAAGATGGGTAAGGCAGTGATCCTGAGAATCTTCAGCAGCTTGTTGAAACTAGCAGTTAATTGGTAGGATTCTCACCCTGTCTAACTATATATGCTGATACTTGTGAACCAAGCAACTGCACTGAAGATAGCAATGTGTAATAGAAGGGTCACGCTTGGAATGCCTGTCATTCTGGTCTTCTAAATACGTACTGCCTGTCATGACATACGAATTATTGCCATACTGTCTCTCAAGTAAATGTTTGTGTTTTTCAAAAAGGGTAATAAATGAAAAAAAGAGACAAGAAAAAAGTCACAGGACTGTCCTGCTGCAATGCTGTATATGGTCAGATTTCTAAATTTCTGTGTAAAATATGTAATTATTCATATTTCTTAAATATTTTATATTTTTTAAATCTTTTTCTCCATATTCTATAGGGACTTAAAGTTTAACATATCAATACTTGATGGAAAATACCTGTTCTATGTTACGCATAAGATGTTTGATATTCAGACAGATAGTGAGGTTAAACCCAACTGCATATGTTGTAGGGTAATAATAAGCTTCTCTTCTGGAGGATTAACAACCTAAGTCTGCAGACCAAAAATTAGAGAAATAGAAGGGCTGTAAAGACAGCCAACATTTTGGCCCTAGCCTTTCAAGGTCAGTAAAGACTCAGGACATAGGAGAACCTATACTGTAACATCATGTAACTCAGTTGTGTCCCAAATTTTCTGATCAAGATTATGGGGCCACAGAGCAATGTGGTCGATGACGTAGGTGTGCCTATGGAGAATCACATGGAGAGAAAACATTCTCTCAGTCTTTCACAGACAGCAAATTGGTCAAGGAATGGCTGTGACTCATCCACATGGCTGACACTGACAAAAGATCTGCAAACTGCAGTACAGGGTTACAGGATAAATCCTGAGGGGACTTGACTGACCTTATCAGATACAAAAGTTATATTTCTTGTTATATAGGTCTTGCTTTATCTTGCGCTTAACCATCCAGCAGAAAAGTATAAGGTATAAAAACTAAAGCCATATTAATATGCTGAGCTGTGAAAGGATCAAATCAACAAATTCTGACATTGCAAGTCCTACAGATAACCCACTACTATTATGGACTACTGGACTATATTTTGCTGAATTCATGCACCTACAATGTTTAAATGGCAATGGAATACCCATCTCTAACAAAACTAAACAAAAAAAGGATACAAAGGAAGAACCATTTTGTATCTGTACATACAAAATAGTTAGGATAGATATACAGCTACTTTCTGTTAATTCAATGAGAAGAAAGATTTGTACTAACAGTATTTGGACAGGATATCCTGTCTGCATCTTGTATTATGAATAACCACTAAGAAGGTAACAATATACAATGTATTAATTATTGAAACTGTCCTATTAATCAGTTTTGGAACTGTCTCACTGCTATTTGTTTCTCAATAGAATTAATAAAAAGAAAAATAAAAATAAATTTTTTAAAAATCAGAACCATATTTTGGGAAAATGTGTGGAACTTCACTTTTTCACACTGGCTGCATGTTAATAATTGTTAATTTTCTTGATTCAAGTAGTACTATTGGAGATGCATTACTAAGTATCACGAGGAAAATGTCCAAATTCCTTTTGTTTTTCTTTGTTTTATTTTGTTTTTCGAGACAGAATCTCACTACACAGTTCATCCTGACCTTGAACTCACTATAAAGCCCAGGCTGGAGTTGAATTCTTGGCAACTGTCTTGCCTCAGGCTCCAGAGTGCTGGGCTTACAGATCTGAGCAAAGTCACTTAGCTTTTTCTTTTCCTACCGCACTCTTGCTGTGTTGTCCACCTGGCCTTGAACGCTTTTCTTTGCTGGGTTTGCCTTGCAAAACACAATACCTTCCCTGCCTCAGCTTCCCCAGTACGGAGTATACAGGCGTGCACCACCACATCAGGCTCTCCAACTTACTGTATGTCAAACAATTTGTCAAAGTGTTTTTCTGGGAGACAGTAAGTGATAAATTCCAGTGTTAAAGTATTACTGCATAAAAATCCCTTCTTTCTAAAAGGCCCAATTGGAATCTAGGTTGTCACAGAACAAAGGAAGAACAGGACTGGGTATGCCTGTTCTGTTTAGTAGGATGATTCCGAGTTCACACACTTTTGTTCCTTGCTTTGCTTTCTGGTCCTGGACTGGAACCAGCGCTCACGCATGCTAGGCAAGGGTTCCCCGGGAAGCTGCACCTCCAACCCCTGGCCACAAACGTTCATACTCACAAACGAAACGTGCACACCTACACAAGTGTTGTATCTTTCTACCTGATTGAAAAACAAATACCGCACGCGCAAACAGAAAACCAATTGCTATAATGAAACGCTTGCTCGCAAACACAGGAGGAAGAGCCAGGCGCGGTGGCCTGCGCCGGTCAGCAGCGCGCCGGTCAGCAGAGCACCGGGCAGGCTGAGGCGGGAAGATCGCTGCAAGTTGAGGCCGGCCTGGACTACAGAGGGAGACCCTGTCTCAAACAGGAGAAACAAGAGCTCTCAAGCCAGCTTTCTCCCAGTACTCACCCGGACGCACCGGACTCGCCGGGTCTGTGAAGCCAGAGAACACAGCGCCGGTGTCCAGGGAACTTGACTGGGGCAGAATTCCTCTCCTCGGGGCAAAAGATCAAACACCACGGAGCCTTTGAAAGACGAGCGGTCCGTTTCCGAGCACAGCCCGAGCAAGCGCGCCCTGAACGAGACGGAAATTGGCTCCCGGCAGCACCCGTAGGACTGATGGCCCAGAGACTTCTGGGATCCCGCCGGGAGGGAGCACGTCAGGTCCGAAGCTTGTGCATTATGTCCTCACACCACTGCCTGCACCATCAATTCCTCGCCCGGCCTCACTAAAACTGGCTTTAAAAACCAAGCTAAGGAAAAACGGACTTGACTGCTGAGAGCTGGAGCCATAAAAGCCTGCGGGAGCGGTGACATCACTTCCGCTTCTCAACCGGGACGGGAAGAACAGAGTCGCGCGGCTCAGACTCGCGCACCTGGGACCGCTGTCAGGCACGGTAATCCCACTTTTCTCCACTTGGGTGCAGATGGGCTCGGGGATGGAGCCGCAGCCAGGGCTGGACGCAGATACCCGGCCCGAGGCCAGGGTTGAGGTTGGAGCCAGGCGTGGGGGTCGTGGTTTGAAGTGGGCTACGCCCACGCGGGATTTCCTGGGTCAGGGAAGCCCTAGGCAGGCTGTCCTAGGAAACGCGAGCAGGAGACCCAGAGACAAACAGGCTTTTGTGAAAGCAACTGGGCGTTTGTTTAACTACTTGCGTGCAGGTAGACAAAGAGTGATAAAGCAGTCTGCCCCGCAAAGAAGTGTGTCTCTGCATCCCTGTAAAAGGGGGAAGATTTAACGAACATCTGTGGTTAAGCTCTTCTGGCATCCTCGTATCTCAATGGGCAAAGTCCTTGAAGTATCCCTTATACATTTTGGGGGTGTGTCTAGGGCCAGCAAAATTCCTTCACCTATTTTACCTCCTTTCCTATGTTTGCAGATGACTGCCTCCAGGTCTGAGCTGAATTCTCTGTAGAGTAGTGCTTCGCCTGGCAAGCATCCTGGGGGCTGGGAGAGTTAGGCCAGGTTGGAGACTTGGTTCAATTGGCTGTAAAAGACAGCTGACTTTTCCCCTGCACCCTCCTGTGACACCGTTCACTTTACCGTAATTAACAGACTTTTTAGTGTACCTTTTCGTTTACCAGATAAAAGCTGCTAGCAGACAGGATGGACCTGATTTATTGACCTGGGGGTTGTAAGGAGATGCTAGAAATCTAGTATCATCGGGCAGATGGAAAAATACATCCCCAGAGAGACAAGTTGGAAAACAAGGTCATCCAGATTGTTTTTTCTCCCTCCCCATGGGTTGTGCCAAGTACCACAGTTCTTGAACATTTCCTCTGATAAAAAGCCATGAAAGCCTTGACATAAGTCATTTTACTCCACCATCTATGTTACGAGCAGAAACTGTAACTACAAAAGAGCCCCGTAGTTTAAAGTACCATCCCAAACTCATCTTTTGCCACCTTCCAGTTCCCATTGAATCCAGACCACCTTGCAATAGCAGATACACTGTCAGGCCCAAACCTGTCCCATTTGTCAAGATCTGGCCCCCTAGTGAGGTTGGTGGAATCTGTGTGCTGACAAGGTGCAATAGATTTCTCACCTGCTTTCTTGGGACCTACAGAGGAAAGGTGACAGCTAGGCCTGCATTTCTTAAGGTGGCATCCCACAAAGCAGGGGGAACCTGAAGTCCACAAGATGCCTCTTGTGAAACTTGCACAACTTAGACACCTCTTTCCAGATCTTACACCTGGGACACCAGTAACAACGCAGAAGTAGGGCAGAAAGCCCCTGAGGGCTTTTGTCTACTTATTGAGACCCATTCTTTGGGAACAAGGGGGCTGAGCTAGCTATTAGTACTTTAATTTCCATGAGGTGAAGGTAGACCTTTTCCCAAGCAATTTCTTGAACCACTTTATTGAAGCAGTCTTAGACCATATAAGAAAAACTTTTTTTGCATTTGCTTGGATGGAAAAAGGACTAAGCATGGGAATGGCTCTGCTTTTAAACATTCACAGTCACTTCATTTAGCTTTTAATTGTTGAACATTGTTCTTGTCAGGCCCCAGTCTTTAATTTATCTGCACTTAAACAGGGAAATGCAAAGCCCAGATAGATGTCTCAGCCTCTGACAGACACTTGGCCTGGGGGAGAGCAATGTCAGTAGGCTCTGGCAAGCTCAGTGGCTGAGGCACACTCCGCTCTAGTGCCTTGTGTAGCAGCTGCACCAGCTGAGCTCTCTGTGGTCCCCTGGAGCACAACACCAGTTGCCCACGCATCTACTTGGCAGGGCTGCTGTTGTGTCTGTTTCCGCTGGCTCAGTACGGGCTTGACACAGTCTCTTGGTGCCTTTGGCCTTTAAACTAAGTCCTTGGCCTAGCTGTGCATAGGTAGCTTTGGCCCATCCAGTTTCATTTGGCATGTCCAGCACCCAACCCAGTAATTTGGACCATGGGGATGTGGGCAGGGCTAAAAGGTCACCCGCTCATGTTCACTGGGCCAGGTTGCTCCCCTGTGCCAACTTTGCAGCTGGCCCCTCTTTTTTGCCCAGGGCCACAGTAAGATGGCCATAACCTGCTGTGACAGGCCTCCAGGACGGCCTGTGGGGGTGTGCAGGTGTCATCTGGCACAGTTTTGTACATCTGCAGTTAATTGCCAAGGGCCTTTGTTTATAGCTCCACACACACCAGAGGTTTTGCACTAGCAAAGACTGCATGATTCTTAAAGGGATAATAGTTTTTCTTTTGTGCAGGAAGAAAGAAAAGGGTTCCTTTCTCCTGTTCTCGCAAACCCATATGCTCTTTAAAATCAGAGGCTTACGTTTATAAGGTTATTTTAAAAAGGAAAAAAGAGATAGCGGAAAAGATGCCAGTGGCTCACCTCAGACCCACACCTAGACAGAGAAGAACTCCCCAAATGGAGCACTGACTGCAGCTGCAGAGACACAGAGATAATGGAGGCAGAGCTTGCAAAAGGAGGTGAATAGGCAATAGCACCTGCAAAAGATGGGTGTCACCATGGCTCCCAAATTCCCAGACCCACACTAAAAATTTCCCACTCCTCCCTGCCATACCCCTTTCCTACCCAAACACTCATAAAATCTTTACCCAACCCCTCACTCAGTGTCAGTGGTCTTGCCTCCCTTGGCCTGCATGCATGCATGCTCAACTTTGCCTTACTTGGCAGTTCCAGTCACACCTCAGTATCCTCTAATATCCAATATGCAGGAAGCAATACCCTCTTCCAGGAGAGTCCTACTGGCTGAGGTTCCCACCAGCATTGAGCCCTTAGACCTTCCCTTGCCGAGACTCCGCTGCTCCTCCACTTCTCTCCTTCAGCTTGGGTAAGTCACCCTCTTTCTTTCCTGTTCATCCTTATTTTCTTCCCACCCACCCCCCTTCCCTATCTTCTGTCTTTCGGGATAACCTGATAGCAACTTCCAAGAGGTGCTATTTAAATCCAGTACTGGTCATACTCATCTTGGGACTCTAAGTCCCTGGTAACCACCCAGTTTTGGAGATGTCCAGCTTGGTCATCTGCCCACTCTATCTAGTGTCACGAGAAAAATTAGAGACATCCTTTACTTTTCTTCATTTACCCCATCTAGTTGGTCTCTAGTTTCCCTCAGGGGCATCTTCCTTCCTCCACCCACCTCCTAAATAATCTCAAACCACTCCATCTCTACCCCTACCTGAAACAGAACAAATCATTTTCTTCTGTCATTTGGGTACTGTCCTCCAAAAACTGGACAGTAAATCCAAATGGCCACCTCATGTCACATTTATCCCCTCCATTCTCTGAGATTTTTTTTTTCCCCAGTATTGGGGATTGAACTCAGGACCTTGTGCTTGCCAGGCAGGGGCTTAAACTGCTGAGCTATATCCCCAGCCATTCTCTGAGATTGCTCCTTGCCAACTCCCCTGTGCTCCTTCTGTGATCCTGCCAAACTTCTCCTGTCCACGCTCCCTCAGTTCCTTCACCACCACCCCCACTGAGTGCTTTCTCTACTGACCCACCCACCCTGACTGTCCCTCACTTCCCCACCAACCTCGCCCTCCTCCCATTGCAGCCCAGCCCCAACAGCCATCCCTCCCTGCCTCCCACTTCAGTCTCCTCTGCTCTTGTTCTCCCCACTCATGGGTCTGAACTCCTGCATCCCCTTTGCCTGCCTGCCCCAATTTGGATACCCAGAGCATCATTCTAGTCCATGTGCCCTTTTCTTTCACTGACCTTTCCCAGGCTCCTTTCCCTCTCATCCTACCACTTACATCCAGGAATTCTCATACCTTGCTCAATCCTATAAATTCACATGAGATGACATTAATATCATGCTTACCTGCACCCTCTCTGAAGATTAAAAACAAACTAAATCCTAGTTCAGGCATCTACTAGTGAGTGATGGGTTCAACCCAGTTTAAGAGAAGGGACTTTACACCACAACAAGACTTTTAACATGGCAATTCCCTAGCCAGACAGAACTAAAATTATATGAAACCCTGCCTGGGTGCTTAAAAAAGGCAGCTCATAAATCAGTCAATCATGATAAATTTTGAGATTATATCACAATTGGCCTTCACACTCCAAAAATACACAGCTGTAAATCCTGTGTTCCAGAGTTCAGAAAGATAATTAATCTTAAAAATATATTTTATTACACAGTCTCTAATAGTGATTTAAAAACTCAATAAAAATTTTAAAAAGCCAAGAAAATTAAAATGGGCCCTCAATCTTCCCAGTAGAATCAAGCATTTAAGGTTATTAACTAGGAAGTTGCCCACCAACAACACCTTTCTTAGAATTACTTGCCTCCACTGTGAGAAACCCATCAGAAAAACCAAAGGGTGGTCAGGGGCTAATACTTCCTTAGAAACAAAAAAAAGGTCTATATCATCAGAACTCTGTGTTCAGTGCTGTAAGACTAGCCACTGGGAAAAAGAGAGCCCCTAGCCAGGACCCCCTCACAAGCCATGCCCCATGTGTGGGGATCCTCACTGGAAGTCAGACTGTCCTGGGAAAAGTTGTACTGCCTCAGAGGTCCCTTCACACGGCCTCCTGCAGAGCAACAGTACTGATCCTCATCTTCTGGGCTGGGCCTTGGATGACTGACCCACACCCTGCACCAGTGGTCTCAGAAGCTCCCTGGACCATCTCAGCTACTGAACTCATTAAGCCTCACTCACTGTGGAAGAGCATCTCAGGCCTAATCAACGTGGGGGTGACCTATTTCACCCTCTTCTCATTCTTGGGACAACTTACTTCAGCACCAGTTACTGTTGTAGGAATGGACAGAACAGTCTCCAGGCTGTTCAAGATTCCTCTGTTTGCATGGCAGTGAGGACACCAGGTTTTTCCATATTTGTTCTCAGTCATCCACACTGGATTCACACACAAGTATCATGGTTCATGGAATATCTAAAGCTATTCCCACATTCCTTACCCTATTAATTCCCTAGGGTTGTCATAATAAAATGGCATAGACTGAATGACTTTAAGCAATTTTATTGGCTTTACCTTGTAGAGTGTGAAAGTTCCGTATCAGCTTGTGGGTAGGGCTGGTTTCAGTTTTAGACTTCTGTCCTTGATTTGCAAGCATTTTCTCATCTTTTCATGGGTTTTCTCTGGGTGTGCCCTTCCTAGAATTTTCTTTTTCCCCCAGCAGTAAGGACGTAATATGGGGCTTTTTACCAAAATACATCCTTAAACCTTTTTTTATTATTATTTTGAGGCACAGTATTACTAAATTGCTGAGGCAAGGCTCAAACCTGTGAGCCTCCTGGGTCAGCCTCCCAAGATGCTGAGATTATAGGCATGTGCCACTAGACTTGAATTCACTTTTCTCACAGGGCCACTGAAGATGCTATATTAAGGACTAATTCAGCATCATTTTTTTAAGCCTCATTTTAGTGGCATTTTTGAAGTCAAAGTACTCTTACATTGTGAAGAAGCAGCGGTGTGGATGACAAAATATGAACTGAAGGGGAAGAGTACAATATTTAAATCTGAAAATTTCTTTTCAGATTGAGTTCATATATACATATTAAAGATTGCAAAATCTGGGCCAGGGAGATAGCTCAGTAGAATAAGCACTTGCCTGGCAAGCGCAGGGTCCTAAGTTCAGTCCCCAGTACCACAAAAAAATAAAGATTATGAAATCTCCAAGATTCTGTGCATTTACACAGCTTCCCTTCAAGATTCCTGATGTGTTTGGAATATAGTAAAATCTTTCTCACCTTTCTTACTGGCATAGAATTGTCTCCTCTATGAACTCTGTTTAAGACCTGAGATAGGAGTAAAGATGTTTCTAAATGCTTTCCATTTGTACATGTCTCCCCAGAGTTCATTTGTGTCTTTAAAATAAAATATGTTTAAGCTTTCCCACATCCTATACATTGATTGTTTCTCTTCACTGTCTTCATTCCTGATTATGTAAGGAATATAGAGAACTGAAGGCTTTCCCACACTCCTTAAATTCATGGAGCTTCCCCTGATACCACATGCCATGCAGGCCCTGCCCCCAGGCAAGCTGAGCCAATCAAGGACCAGGCATGCTGGGGCATCACTGTAATCCCAGCACTAGGGAGGCTAAAAATAGGAGGATCACTATGAGTCCAAGCTGCGAAGTAAGACCCTGTACCAAATACATTAAAAAAAAAAAATTCATAGGGCTTCTCTCCAGTTCTTTTACATAACTGAAATAAATTGGAATAATGAAGGTTTTCCCACAGTTCCATTCATAGGGTTTTTCTCCCATTACAGAGTCATGTGTGATAGGTAACACATACAGGAAACCTAAAGGCTTTCCCACATTACAGATGTGTATGGTTTTTTGGCACTATGTGTCCGAATGTGATAATTCAGACTAGAGGAATGTGTAAATGCTTTCCCACATTGCTTGCACTCAAAGGGCTTTTCTCCAGTGTGAATCCTCAGATGTTTGCTAAGATTTGAGGAAATAGCAAATGCTTTCCCACACTTAACACATTCAAAAGGCTTCTCTCCGGTGTGAGTTCTCATGTGTTCATTAAGGCGGGAGGACCTAACAAAGGCTTTCCCACATTCTTTACACTCATATGGCCTTTCTCCAGTATGGATGCGGATGTGCTTAGTGAGGTTTGAGTTCTGAATGAAGGCTCTCCCACAATGCTTACATTTGAAGGGTTTTATCCCAGTGTGAATTCGAACGTGATCACGAAGGCACAGGGAGGTCCTAAAGGATTTTCCACACACCTTACAATCAAAGGGCTTCTCCACAGTATGACTTTTCACATGTTCACTGAATTGAGAAGATGTTGTAAAGACCATCCTGCACTCCTTACATTTGTAGGGGCTCTCTCCATTATGGGCTCCCATGTGGATATTAACGTAGGCAGAATAACTGAAGTCCTTTCCACAGTCCTTATCCTTGTAGGATTTTTCTCCATCCTGAGTTTGCATCAGTACAGCAAGGCTGTTCGAGTGAAGAAAATCTATCCTTCTTTCATTGAGTTCATGGAGTTTGTTTCCACTCTGTATTCTGCTGTCATTCTGAATGTCTGACTGATCAACAAATGCTTGCCCACTGGCTACAAAGAGTTGTTTCTGAGGGCACCTTCTTGGGTAAAGGACAGCTGGAGGTTGGCTGAAGGTTGGCTCACAGTGATTTGACATAGAAAGTTTCTCTCCAGTAGAGATTTCTTTGTCCAGAGGAAGGATGTCTATTCCATACTGATCATACTCAGAAGTGCTCCCTTTATTCTCTGGTGCCATATATGACTTGAGGGCTAAGTGTCCACTGATAAAGTCTCTACAATGCTTCAGATCACACAATTCTGCTCCATTGTGGCTTCCTGCCTGTTAATAAAAAAGATGACTGATTCAAAGATTTTATGAGTTCAATAAAAGACTTTGCATCCAAAGGCAGAAACATTACAATGATTATCTCACTGTGACCATATGTATCAGATATATACAGCTCCTATTCAGTTGATTTATAGTTTCAGTCTTGCACTGTTGCCCGGGCTGGCCTCAAATTCCTGGACTCCGGCAATCCTCCTTTGTCAGCTTCCCAAGTAACTACAGGCATTGTTGTAGCTTCTATAGAGAAGTCCCCCAAAAAGCCTCATGTGGTCATACGTGGCACTTTATTTTATCGTGGCTAAATCTAGGGTGTATACTACTGGTATTAAGAGTGTGACAGTGGGATTAAGGGTGATTACTGCATTAACCCACTGATTAGTTTACCATAATACTAAATGCAGATAATGGGAAGACAACCATGGGTGTGGGTAGCACTACCCCAAAGGAAGGTAGGCTAGACAGAATAAAAAGGAGAGACAGGCTGCAAATGTTGCTTTTCTATGCTCTTTGCTACCTTCTGCCTGCCACTGTTTCTCCTTTGTGATTCCCTCTACCTTATCACCTTGCCTTGGAGCCAGTTGACTATGAACTAAAACCTCTGCAGACTATAAGCTAAATAAATCTTTCCTCCCTTGTTGTTTTGTTTTGTTTTGTTTTTGTCTTTTTGAGACAGGGTCTCACTACACAGTTCAGGCTGGCATGGAGCTCACTTTGTAGCACAGGTTGGTCTTGAACTTACAATGATCCTCCTGCCTCAGCTTCCCGAGTGCTGGGATTACAGGCATGCACCACCACACCCAGCTTCCTCCCTTAACTCGTGGGTCAAATATTTTGTGCTAGCAGCAAAGTAAATAAATCACTACATCTGGTTTGTTGATTTCTTAAAGATACAATGATTGAAGGTGTTATGGTTTGCATCTAGTTGTCCCCCCAAAGCCTCATGTAGCCATGGGGTAGGGACTTCTAGAGTCTGAGATTAATTCATGATCAAGGCTGGGATTATAGGCCTGAGTACTGCTGGGATTATGGGTATGAGTGCTACACCTAGCCTGAGGGGGATAGCCTGAATGTAACATAAGACAGACAGACAGACAGACAGACAGACAGACTTCCTCTCTATTACCATTGTTGTTGCTACTTCCCCATTTGCTCTCTTGCTCTTTGCCACTGCCATGAAAAGATGCTCTCTGCCCTGTGCCACTCTACCTTGGAGCCAGTCGAGTATGGACTAAAACCTCCAGTAACTATGAGCTAAATAAACCTTTCCTTCCTTCATTTTGGGTGTTAGGTATTTGTCCCAGCAACAAGAAAAGAGTAACTAGATAGAAGGCTTTTCTAGGAGCTGTGTCACCTACTTTGATTTTTTTTATAGAGTTTTAAAAAAAATCTTTTTAAAACTACACAGTTACATATCTGAGAATATGTATTTGTGGGCACTCAGATGCAACAAACTTAAAACTTTGGGGCTCTTTCAAATTCATCATCCCAGACCTGCCATGCCAGCCCTGCCGCCAGGGTGCACTGAGATAGCACTTGAGACTTGGCATGTAATCCCAGCTCTTGGGAGGCTATAAACATATGAATCACTACAAGTCCAATCTAGTAGTCAGACTCTAAACACCCTGTAGACCCTTCCCTAAAATTTAAAAAAAACCATCATATTCCAGGTTTCCCTCCAAAGATACTACTTTCTCTTTTAGGTCAAGTTACTTCTCTAAAATGTCTCTCACTTTTCTGATTTTCTTTAACAGAATTATTCATCTTATCCAATCATGGAAAATATCTTTGTGACTAGACAAGTGGCACACATTTTTAATCACAGCATTCTGGAAGCTGAGGCAGGAGGATCACCATGAGTTCCAAGCCAGCCTTGGCTACACAGTGAGCTCAAGACCAGCCTGAATTACAGAGTGAGACTCTTACCTCAAGAAAGAAGGAAGGAAAGGAAGGAAAGGAAGGAAAGGAAGGAAGGAAGGAAGGGAGGGAGGGAGGGAGGGAGGGGAAGGAAGGAAGGAAAGAAGGAAGGAAGGAAAGAGAGAGAAAGAAAGAGGGAAAGGAATGGGGAGGGGAGGGAAGACAGAAAAAATATCCTTGTGAGCCTTACCATGAATATATCCCTGGAGGCTGGTCCCATCAGGAAATCCTGCTCAAATGCTGATCCTTTGGTTTTAAGTTCCACTTTCCATTCTGCACTCAAAGAGAAAAAGAAATGTAAAGGGTTTAGAGACAGACATGGCAGTAGAAGAAAGTGAAAATGATAGGGTGCATTTCTCTTTTCAGAGTAAATACAGTTTTGAAAAAAAACCACAGGAACATGGGGTGGCAAATGCCTCTACTACCAGCACTTACAAGGCTGAGGCAAGAGTGTCACCATAGTTCAAGGGCAGCCTGAACTTCAAGCAAGACCCTGTTTCAGAAAGCAAAAGAAGAGTGCGAAGAAGAAAAAGAGGAGGATGTTCTAATAGTGTTTGTAAATAGGCTATCATGTCCGCATCTTGTACAGCAATTAACCACTAGGAAGAATGTATGCAATGTGTTAATTATTGAAACTGTCCTACCAATTTGGTTTGAAAAATAAATAAATAATAAAAATTAAAACTAAAATTAAAAAAAAAGAAAAAGGAGGAAGAGGAGGAGGAGAAGCAGCAGTAGCAGAAACAGCAACAGCAAAGATAAGGACAAGGGATCGAAAGTTTACATGATTTTTAGGCAAGCACAGGGATCGCCACCACTGCCAGCTCTGCCCCCAGGGCACACTGAGCCGGCCACAGAGTCAGGGTGTGGTGGCACATGCCTGTAATTCCAACCCTTTGGGAGGCTGAAAACAGGAGATCACTATGAGTCAGAGCTGCATAGTGAGACCCTGTACCAAATACATTAAAAAAAAAAAAAAAAGTTGGGGCCGGGGAGATGGTTCAGTAGGATAAGTGCTTGACTGGCAAACGCAAGGATCTGAGTTCAATCCCCGGTTCCGCCAAAAAAAAAAAAAAAAGTTTGCATGATTTATAAAAACTAAATTCTATGAAAATTAAAACTGGTGGTACAGACAAAGGACATTACCAGAGAAGGAAATAGAAATACAAGAGAGAGACATCTATCAACACAATGAGGCTACAGAAGGAACATTACAACCTATACTGTGAAATCACAGGAAGAACTGAGAAGATAAAGCCTAAGAATGATCTGGAGCTTCTGAGATTAAAAGTTTCTGTACTATAAACAGTGAACTGGCTGCACACAGTCATTCTCCAGGAGCACTCACCTTTGAGAGTGCTTCCCTCCCCTGTCCTTAACTCTTCCTGTTCCAACCAAGAGATGAGGCTGGGTTTAAGGAGCTCACATCCTGTAGGTGGAAAAAGAGACAGGCACAGAGTGGAAGAGATGCGGGGCCTTCCCCAGTTTCAGGAAATAATAGTTCAGATAAAAGCAATGAAATAATTTTAGAAAACATGTAAATAGCCCCTCTATTTGGCCCCAAAATATTGCTGTCTCTGACCACTGAAACACAAATCCAAGCTTATGTTCATTAAAAAAAAAAACAGTATGACTTCTGTCTGAATAGAAAATAAAGTACATGAAACACAAATCTTCATTTTCACAAGAGAAATGTCTATGCCTGTGAATTTGTGTGTGTGTGTGTGTGTGTGTGTGTGTGTGCACATGTGTACATGTGCAGGGTGCTAGGAAAGGCATCCAAGGTCTTGTCCAGCTAGGAAAGTACTCTGCCTCTGAGCTATACCTGCAGCCTGTACAACTGTGATCCTAAAGCATTAAGAGCATCAAGTCCACCTGGACAGCCTGTATAACACAGACAGCCGGGCCCAATCACTAGGCCTGATGGATGACAGTGATGCGATGTTCCTGATTTCAGACCACATTCTGAGAACTCAAGTGTAGAGGAAAGCCTACAACGGCAGGGGCTCCATCTCTGTCATGTCTCACTACATCCACAGTTGGTATCACTGATCCTGCAACACATACTGAGTACTTACAGCACTTGGCACAACCTGTTCCTTAAGAGGCTACAAGGCCTGATGGCGGTCTTATCCACAGCAGCCAGGTTCTGGAAGTTCTCCAGCATCACATCACTGTACAGCTTTCTCTGAGGTGGGTCCAGTGAAGTCCACTCGTCCAGGGTGAAGTCCACAGCCACATCCTCAAAGCTCACTGCCTCCTGTATCAGCACACACAGGCTGCTTGAGCCAAGTAACATACTCACCCATGTGCACAGGAGAATGAGGAAGGGACACCAGTGGCTGCATTGGGTACTGCCTACCCAGGGCTCTGTGGTCCCAGGGGCTCTTCCCTCTGTCCACACTCATTCACTGTGGCTCTCTTCTGATTACATGGCTTTAATGGCCCTCATATATGATCTGACAGTGTAACGAGGCCAGATGCTCAACTTATTTTCCCCTATTACAGCACATACTTGAACATACTGCAGATGCCTGATAAATGTGAGGAATGAATGTATTCCTCTGCCAAAAAACTCTTCCACACTCTTCCTCCACTGCCAGAATGCTTAGTTACATCAGATGCGTGCAGTCAGCACCACAGAAGAAGAGTGGTTAATAAATATGAAATACTGCAAAGGCATTCACTGTAATTGCTCACCAGTTTAATTGGTTACCTTCCCTGGGGAAACTCAATTACGGACTTAGTCCTTGAGAGAAGCTTTTAGAAGTTCTGGGATGATGGGTGGAGTGCTGCACACTTATAGTCCTAGCTACTTAGGTGGCAAAGGTAAGAGAAAAGATTGAATGCAGGAGTTTACGACCAACCTGGGCAAAACAGCAAGATCCTGCTTCTTTAAAATATAGGCAGATAGGCAGATGTGGGATGATGGACAACAAGACTGACAGACTAACAAGACAGAGATGTCCTGGGTGTAGTGGCACATGTCTATCATCACAGCACTTGGAGGCTGAGGCAGGAACATCACAGTAAGTTGAAGGCTATCATAGGCTGTACAGTGACTTCAATGTCCGTATGAACTACATACCAAAACTTTCTCTCAAAGTAATAATACATAAATGATAGTAAGCCTCTATTACTTAATAAACCAATAAGATTAGATAGATAGATAGATAGATAGATAGACAGACAGATGATGGATACATGCTGTGGAATTGATCCTGTATAGAAAAAAGTATGCCCCCTAATGGATGCACGTTTATGATTTTGTAGATCTACGTGAGCATACCTGATACCAATTTGACAGACAATCAGTCATCTTCTTTTCGGACTTTGTTTTTTCCTCATCAAGGTAGACTGGGTCCATCTGAAAATGTTTCATGGAAAAGAAAGAAGACACTAGAAGCCAGATGTGACCATATGTCCCCCATTCGCATGTCTTAAAGTTATTCTATCCTGCTTCAAAATGCCCATATATATTAGGCTGAAGACACTGTCTAGCAATATGGTGCTTGCCCAGCAGCCAGGAGGCCCTGGTTTCATCCTCCAGCTCCACAAAATGACAAAAACAAGAAACTAAATTCACACACTATCAGGAGCATCTGAGCTAGTCACTGTTCACATGTATGAAATGGGAAGCGCCATGTGCTCAAGGAATGCCCTGAGGGCATACGGCACAGCAGGTGAACAGGTCCTGAAAACATGGGGCACAAGAAGCAAGCTAGTTAAGTAAAAGGGCATCACATGGCGAATGTATAACTAAATGCATTGCATTTAGATGCCAATAGAATATTCACCTCTGACAGACAGTAAATAAATGAATAAATAAATAAATAAAAATAAAAATGAATGCACTGCAATGGTTGAGCAGTTCCTTTCTTCCCATCTGGAGAGAGGGCTCCATCTGACCTTAGCTTTCTGTCTCTTATTTTATTTTTCCATCCTCTTGCCATCTTTCCTTCCCCCTAGGAACTTTGTGAGCTATGCTGGACTCAGTATATTAGCACCTGAATTTGTGTTGGCATAAGAAGAAATAGGATGGGGACACCTCCTACTGTGTGCACAAAAGAGGGAGAAGTGCACTGATAGCATCAACATGAATCACAGAGGTGTGCTGATACTGGTACCATCAGATACAAAATGGGGCAAAGAGAAAACCAGGCTTATTAGGTCAAAGAGGAAAACAGGTTTGGGAAAAACAAAAGGGAGAGAGGTGTACTGATTTTATCAGGGATTAAACCTGGAGCAAACTGATTTTCTAGAACCACAAATGTATATGTAACTGCTGTATTCTTGATTTCTATATTTGCTTTGCTTTTGTGGATTTGCATTAGGGAGTGTTTTAATGGTTATAAGTTTGAAAGCACTACTTAAGACTAAGTCTAAGCATAAGAAAGGTGGCAGAACAGGAGCCTCCCTAGCCAAGTTTAAACCCTCTGACTTTGTTCATTAGATAGGGAAGGAGTGATGGGGGCAAAAAGAATCCTTCCTTATTGGATGAGTGTTTTGTGGCAAATTCTATTTTATAACATCCAATGGATTTTTTTTTTCTTTTACTTTTTTTTGTATTTTAGGGAAGGGTATACAGGGTGTTCAGGGTCTCACTACTACATCAGACTCATAGTGATCCACCTGTTTACAGCCTCCCAAGAGCTAGGCTTACAGGAGCATGCCACCACACCCAGTCTCAATTGCCATCTCAGTGTGCCCCGGGGGCGGGGCCAGCATGGCAGACCTGGGGATCAAATCCCTGGCCCCTGTACCTGCTTGCAGGCACTTTAATCTGCTGAGCTATTTGGCTGGCCCTTTTTCTTTTTTTCTTTTTCTGTTTTGGAGACAGAGTCTTATTAAGTAGCTCAGGCTGGCCTTGAGCTCACTTTGCAGCCCAGGCTGGTCTTGAACTTGCAACAATCCTCCTGCCTCAGCGTCCCGAGTGCGGGGATTACAGGGATGCACCAGCAAACCCTGCTCAACATCCAATAAATTTAGCTAAGCCACAAGCATAGATTTCTGCCTTTTCAGATCAGAGTTTTGTTGCACAGGAGGGTGAATTTTTTTTTCCTCAGAGAATGGAGCATTCTCTTTCTCCATTGCAACTGGTATTAAAGGAAGCCGAGCAGGTGGGGGTGTTCTTGGAGGGTTTTTAATATACCCTATTATTGAACTCTGAGCCCCCACTAACCCAGGACATATTATACATTTTCCTTTTAAGACCCTGAGGGAATTTAAACAAGCTGCTACTATGTATGCTTCCATAGCCCCTTTTACCTTAGCTTTAATAGCACACCCAGTACAAAGGATTATGGCTCAAACAATTGGAAAGGAATTGCTAAAACACGTTTGAGTCTGAGGGATTATTTTTGGGGAATGATAGTTTTTTTTTTTAATTCTTTACAGATCAGGCCACGCACAATGTAACTCATAACAGAGCCGTTACCAAGACATGCTAACCAGAGGGTGGCTTTGCTGCTACAACTAGAACTAACTTTTGAATTGCCAGTAGATGAGCAGAGTAAGACACACAAGACACCACAAGGGCTTGGAGGGAGCTTCCTTCAAAGGGCAACACATCCCAGATTTGACTTCCATTCATCAGGGTCCTGATGGACCTTTTCAAGACTTTGCAGCATGCTTGTTACAGTTTAGTGGGAAAAGTATAAGCAATACAGCAGCTAGCAAGTTACTAGTTCAACAACTGGCCTTGGAAAATACAAATAAATGGTGTAAGAGGGCTTTGGGGGCCCACAGAAAATGGGCTACACTGACTGAGACAATTAGGATCTGTGCAGACACTGGCCTCATACGCAGGGGGCTGCCCTGGCAGCAGCTGTCACTCAAGTTGTTAATCTACAGCCTGAAGAAAGGATAGTGAAAAGAGTTTCTTGTTTCACCTGCAGAGGCAGGGAATATCTACCCGAAGTTACTCAGTTGTATCTGTGAAGGTAGCACACCCATTATCTCTCCTTATAACAAAACCTCGTACATGTACAAGGTGTACACAGCAATACAGCAGCTAGCAAGTTACTAGTTCAACAACTGGCTGTCATTGGCAAATGAGTGTAAATCAACAAGGACGTCGTTGGCAAATGAGTGTAAATCTAAAACTCATGTGGAAGGCCAACTCATTTTGGGAAACATCTGGTGGGACTTGCCTCAGCTTTGCCAATGTGTGGGGGCACATTCCCTAATGCCTGGCTAGTCTATTTATAATCATAAATTTTGGGCTGGGGAGATGGCTTAGTGGAATAAGCGCTTCCCTGGCAAGCGCAAGGGCCTGAGTTCAATCCCTGGTTCTGCAAAATAAATAAATATATAATCATAAATTTCTAAAACTGTAAAAGTAACTATAATTCAATTTGATCAGAAATATATTTGAGTGCCCTCTGATTTTGTAAGGTGTTTGTTTATCTAATCTGTTAAGTGAGTACTTGTTTGTCTATTTATGTCTGTGAACAGCTATTTTTTTTATTTGAGCTCCACAACTTTTTCTCATTCCCTTTTTGGGTCATTTGTTCACAGTACAATTTGGGTTACAGATTTAAAAAGCATGCTTCCACTTGGGTTGCCAGGTGGTCAAAATGATGCTAAAATTGGTTGTGTTAATGTACATTGTTGTTTATGTATTATCACTTGAGAGTTCACAAATAATGTGTTAAACATTATAACCACATTTTCATAAGTCATGAAAAAAGCTATTAAGATAATTAAACAAAAATCCACTCCATTGTGGAAAGACTATGACAGGAATTAAACTGATAAGTAAAAAATCAGCTTTCTGGACAATTATCCAGGACTTGTGAATAAATAAGAAGCCCCAGTGATTTTCATAGCCTTACAGGAGACATCCCAATAAACATTATTACAAAATATTGTTGTAGTATGTTTACATTATTCCTACTTCAAAAGATTGTTTTCTACGGGCCAGCCAAATAGCTCAGCAGATTAGGCCTGGGGTTCCATCCCCAGGCCTGTCATGCTGGCCCTACCCCCGGGGCACACTGAGATGGCAATTGAGACTGGGTGTGGTGGCACGTGCCTGTAATCAAGCTCTTGGGAGGCTGTAAACAGGCGGATCACTACCAATCTGATCTAGTAGTGAGACCTTAAATACCCTATAGACCCTTCCCTAAAATACAAAAAAAAAAAAAAGATTGTTTTCTAGACGAGAAGGTATTTATTCAAAGATGTTCTTGTATAAAGGTTTTTAAATGGCTATGATAGCTGATTGCTATTGTTTTGGTAGTTTATTACATATATTCATGCCTGTAGATGTTCAGGTCTTCCCAAGTGTGGAATGATGATTGTTTATAGTAATATTTTTCTTTCAGATTCAGACATCTGCCTTTAATAAAATTTATGTAACAAACATCCAATTAAAAGACAGCAAGCTAGGTAAAAGCTTCTTATGAGTTGGATGGAAATGACTGATTAAAAAGGTTATAGTAGGTCAAAATGCAAATTTGATGTGTTAAAAATATCATCGTGATTATCATGCTATAATATTATGTAAGGCTTTTGGTTTCTAATTTTCTGTGTAAAATAAGTAATTGTTAACATTCTACAGGGATTTAAATACTGGAACATCCATAGTTGTTAGAAAATAACAGTTCTATCTTATGTTCTAAGGTGTTTGATAGGCAAGTATGATAGTAATATGAAGCTTACTTTGTCCATTACAATGTAGTGTCAATCTTCTCTTCTGGATGTTCAACAACTGAGGTTTGGAGACCAAAACTAGAGACACAGGCTAAGAAGATAGCCAATGAAGTCAGTGAGGACCCAGGACATAAGAGAACCTCTGCTGTGACATTCTATAACTCAGTGAGTCCCTGGTCTTCTGACGAGAGAGATTGTGGCACCACTGAAGAAAATGATCAATGATGTATAGTGTGCCTAAGGAGAATCATAAGGAGAAAAATATTTCCCAAGCTTTCACAGAAAGCAACTTGGTCAAGTAATAGCCATGACTCATTCAGACAGCTGACACAGAAAAACTAGGAGCTGCTGTCCATCGTTCCTAAGTAATTCCTGAGGAGACTTAACTAGCCTTGACAGATACAAAAAATTAATTTTAATTAATAAAGTCTCACTTTAACTTAGTCTTAAACATCCAGCAGAAAAGTATAACAAAAAAAAAAAAAAATTATCTGCAGTCCTCCAAACATAGCTCCTCCAAATTCAACTAAATACCCATTGATGGCACCTACAAAAACAAAATGGGGGTATTTTGGGAGCAACTGAGTCAGCAGTTGTTCACCTGTGTGGAGCTGAAAGCATAGAATGCCCAAGGAATGCCCAGAGGGCATGGAGCACCCCAGGCAAAAGGATGTTCCAGCCCTGAGGACATGGGGCATTAGAGGTAAGCTAGTTAAGAAAAGGGTGTCACATAACAGATGTATAAATACATTTCAGTGGTGAGTAGTTCCTTTCCTCCTATCTGGAGAGCAGGCTCCATCTGACTTCAGGTTTCTGTCTCTTGTCTCTACTTCTCCATCCTCTTGCCATCCTTCCTCCTTGGCAACTTTGAGAGCTGTGCTAGACTCAGTATCATACATCCCTGCACACCTGAAATGCTACAGCAGCTCCCTCACACAGAGCCAGAAAATAACACTGCATACCATACTGACCACCAGGGAAAATGTCAGGGTCTCATGATTCACATGGAAATGTAAGCCCTGAATAAATATGCCTATAGGTCCATGGAGATAAAAACTCATGAAACCAAGTTAGGTGCCACCCACCCACTCGAGGGCTCACTTCTGCACATCCTGACTGAATCAGCAGCCTGGCAGCTGCACACAGGGCCACCAGCTTCATCCTGTGCCTTGGGGAGCAGCTAAAACAGAGCCTCTGGAAGCTCACGAGGGACTCACCATGGGAGGAGACAGCGGCTCCCACTCTCCCTGTGAGGCTGATGGAGCTGTGCACTTGAACATGCCTTTCGCTGACTCAAGGTCACTTCAGCACAGCTTCTGCAGCTCTGTGGAAGTGGCAGTCCCCATTCCTCTTCATTCAAGGTTGAGTCCTATTCACATCAGCATTGATCAATGTGATCAATTCTTAATAACCCATCATCAATATACAGATGATGTGTGTGACAACCCATCTGTATGTGACTAAAACTGTCTGACAATCAAATTAGAAATATCAATCTATTTACTGAGACTTAGAGTTGTCCAAAGTTGCACTAGGAGCTTTATGGATATAATCTCACCTAAGTCGTTTTCAAGGCTTGAACTACAGGTTATACAAGTGTGACTGGTTCATCAGGCAAGCTGTACCACCCGTTGGGACTGTCCTATATTGTTTGATGAGACAGTCATACATGTACCACCAGTGATTCCGAGTTTCCTGGCCACAAGATATATGAATTACAGTCCCTTAATGACCCTCTATAACAAATGCCATTATGCCTAATGGGTAACAGAAAAGCCTACATTCAGAAATCACTAGTAATCATCTCGATTTTACTCAGAAGGTGATGAACGGCAAGTTCAACACAGTTACATTTGTCACTAACACCTGATCTACTGTGGTTGTTGTTACAAAACAAATATTCCTTATCCAGGGCTTGGACAACTATGGTTGATTTACAAGTAGAGGACTGTTTGTCTGAAATGCTTTGTGATTTTTGTTTTTAAAAAGTGTTTCAGTTTTTAGAGATTTTTAGGTTCTGAAATATTAGCATAAACTTTACCTTCTTCAGCCATGCATTCTTTGGACAGCCAGGGGCATAGTGGTGCATATCTATAATCCCAGCACTTGGGAGGCAGAGGCAGGAGAATCTCCTCGAGCTCAAGACCAGCCTGGCCTACATAGTAAACTCCAGGCCAGCATGAACTACATAGCAAGGTCCTGTCTCAAAACAAAAAAAAAAAAGCTTTAGATTTCAGAACATTTTGTATTTCAGACTTCAGGTTAGAGATGCTTAATGCATACTTCTCAGTGTGAGCAGAGATCAGTTTAGACTTGAATTATACAACATAATGATCACTGGGCATACGTACTGCCAAAGCAAGGGCAGACTAACAGTGAGATCTTTACTTAAAAAAAAGGTCCATACTACATCAAGTACTAGGAGGCCTGAGAGTCTGTCACAAACTGGAAGTTGTCTGACCCACGAAGCCATAAAATTGGGCATATGCAACAGTAATCTTCCATCAAACAGAAATGGCACAAAAGACCGTGAGCTGGGCCAAGGAGATAGCTCAGTAGAATAAGCACCTGCCTGGCAAGTGCAAGGTCCTGAGTTCAATCCCTGGTACCACAAAAAAAAAAAAAAAGTCCATGAGCTGAGACAGGTCCAGGGAGGGTAAGTACACAGTGGATCCCACTAAGGCAAAGGCAAAAGCCCGGGGAGGTGATAATCTACAGCGTGATTAATGACAAAATACCAAAAGAAAATGAATCCAAGCATGTATATGAGACAAGGATAAAGTGTACCAACACGTAGTGCTTCTATGATGCCCAGAAGGGGTTAATGGGAGCCAGATGCGCTGGCGGACACCTATAATTTTGGCTCTGGAGCCTGAAGCCAAAGGATCTGAAGCTTGAGCCCAGCTTAAGCAATTTAGGCACTTGTCTCAACATAAAAAAGAAAATAAAAAGCACCTGTAATGTAGCTCAGACCAAAGGCCCAGGGGTCAATCTCCAGTACAACCAACAACAACAAAAAAAAAAGTAAGAAACCAAGGATATCAACTACAACCTCAATACCCTTTACAGAAGCAAGTGTAGCAGTGTGGGCTAGTTCCTCTTTGCTTGGCAAATGTATGGGTTAGGTCATATGCATTGGTTTATGCAGTCCTAACTCCTTTCCACTCTGCTTTACATGTCACTAGCAGCTAAAATTATAATTCTGTCTTTGTTTTTGTTTTTTGTTTGTTTGTTTTTTGCAGAACCAGGGATTGAACTCAGGTCCTTGTGCTTGCCAGGGAAGCACTTATTCCACTGAGCCATCTCCCTGGCCACAATTCTGTCTTTGGGTGACAATATTTGTTAAGAATGTGACTAAACTTGAGGAGTAATAGTCCTCCAAGGTGATAGGATGATCATCGGGAGGGTTCATCCTGTCACTCAGAACCTCTTTTTATATCTTAAAATACAGACTTTGTATCTCCTTCCACTATGATTCCACTATTATGAGGGAATTCAAACAAGTACCCAGCCAGAGAGGGCCGCACCAGGCACCACCTTACTCATCCTGCTCCAATTTCATGTTCAGCACCTGCCATGGAATAAAAGGCCACATCCTTCATTTGCATTAAATGCATATTCCCAGCACACTGAGCTTTGTATGCAGAGGAGTGCCATGATGTTACTCAACAGAACTGCTGCCTCCACGCCCATTTTCAGGTCAGAGGACATGAAGTGACTTGAAACTCAGTGGTACCTGATCACTCCAACCTAGTTCAAGCTTTTTCTCCTCTCATGGCCATCTGCTACTCACCCCACTTGTTACTCATCCACTGACAAAAAAAAGAAAAAAGAAAAAACCCACATCCACAGAACCTGACCCCAATTCAACCTGCTGTTCCAAACCAGAGTCAGGTAAGTCTCCTTCCCTGGTGTTTTCATTTCTCATTTTGAGACAAGGTCTCACTGTGCTGCCCACATTGCTCTTGAACTCTGGAACTCAAGGTACCCTCCTGCCTCAGCCTCCTGAGTATCTGTGAAGACAGGCGCAGGCCACTGAGCCTGCCCCTCATCCTCCACCCCTAGAAAACGTCCATAAAATCTCAGTTGCCACCCGCCACCCTCGTCTCAAGTCAGAGGATCCCTGCCATCTTCCTGCGGTCCTCTCCATGTCCTCAACAAAGGCTTTCTTTTGTCTTTCTGTTGCACAAAAAAAAAAAAAAAAAAAAAAAAAAAAAAAAAAAACACTAACAGTTGGGGCAGAGGGTCTGGTAGAGGCAGCTCGCTGGGGCAGGACCCACAAGGATGAGTGTCCCTCCCCAGCTCTTCCCTTTGCTCTCTGCTTTCTGGTCACCAGGACTTGAGCAGTCTCCCTTCAGGTCCTCCATCCATGCCACTGAAGCATTTGACCCAGCCAAGCACTGAAACCACGAGCCAGAAGAAGCCTCTTCCCCTTTCAGTTGTGACTGTGGAGTATTTTGTTCCAACAACAAGAAAATGGCCAGAACTACAATTTACAGCCACTGTCACAAAGACCCCTGAGACCAAGACACAGGGTTAAGAGGCCACCAGGCAGAAGTGCAATTAGAAGGTACCCTGACCTTTACCATGGACACAGTAGTGGCCACAGTGGGGAGCAGTGTTGGTGTGGGGCACCTCCACTTGCCTGAGAGCACAGAGAAGGCCTGGCCCCATCACTTCAGTGTGGCCACCCCCAAATGGACCACGGAAGTTCAAGGGACTCTCACTAGCAGAGGCCACTCGATGTGTGTGCCAACTTAGGACAGCTTAGTTCTCTCCAGAACGCCAAGTGCAAGTCACCCCAACTTCCCTGTGCTCCAAGGCTTGTGCCCTGGGGCCTTTCAATGGGGGCACGAAGGTCCCACAGCCTTGCAACCCAAGTGTGTTGTCTACCTGGCGTTAAACTCCTTCTTCAGCCTAAGTCGCATCAGAAATCACCATGCCCTCCCTGCCCCAGCCCTAGCCCCCCATGCTGGGCTCACAGGCATGCATTACCACACCGGGTTCTCCAACTTACTGTATGTCAAATAATTCTCCAAGTAAAGTATCTTTCTGGGAGATAATAAGTGATAAATTCCAGTGTTAAAGTATTACTGCACTAAAAACCTCTTCCTTCCAAGAGGCCCATTTGGAATCTGGGTTGTCACAGGACAAAAGAAGAACAGGACTGGGTATGCCTGTTCTGTTTAGTAGGATGATTCCGAGTTCACACACTTCTTGTTCCTTGCTTTGCTTTCTGGTCCTGGACTGGAACCAGCGCTCACGCATGCTAGGCAAGGGTTCCCCAGGAAGCTACACCTCCAACCCCTGGCCACAAACGTTCGTACTCACAAACGAAACACGCACACCTACACAAGTGTTGTATCTTTCTACCTGATTGAAAAATACCGCACGCGCAAACAGAAAACCAATTGCTATAATGAAACGCTTGTTCGCAAACACAGAAAGAAGAGCCAGGCGCGGTGGCCTGCGCCGGTCAGCAGCGCGCCGGTCAGCAGCGCACCGGGCAGGCTGAGGCGGGAAGATCGCTGCAAGTTGAGGCCGGCCTGGACTACAGAGGGAGACCCTGTCTCAAACAGGAGAAACAAGAGCTCTCAAGCCAGCTTTCTCCCAGTACTCACCCGGACGCACCGGACTCGCCGGGTCTGTGAAGCCAGAGAACACAACGCCGGTGTCCAGGGAACTTGACTGGGGCAGAATTCCTTTCCTCGGGGCAAAAGATCAAAGACCACCGAGCCTTTGAAAGACGAGCGGTCCGTTTCCGAGCACAGCCCGAGCAAGCGCGCCCTGAACAAGACGGAAATTGGCTCCCGGCAGCACCCGTAGGGCTGATGGCCCAGGGACTTCTGGGATCCCGCTGGGAGGGAGCACTCCAGGTCCAAGCCTTTGCCGCGCGTCCTCTCACCACTGCCTGCACCACCAGTTCCTCGCCTGGCCTCACTAAAACTGGCTTAAAACTGCTATGGCAGGGCCGGGCACGTATCTGCCCGACAAGCGCGAGCTCCTTGGTTCGATGCGATTCCCGGTGCCGGAAAACAAAAAGCCTCCCAGCAGCAAGCAGAAACCCCGATATTAGGAGGCAGATGTTCTAACTTCAGACTGGCACTGTCAGAGAATCTGTTGTTTCTCAAAACGTCAGGCCCTGAACCTCAGGGATGGAGGTTTTTATGGTGTTAGTTGCAAAGGGGAAGTAAAAATGCTGAGTACTTGGCTGACTTTGATTGGTTTTTGCAATATCTATCAGAGTGACCAGTCGTTTCTAAGAAACAAGCAGCCGGAAA